ACCAGCTATTTGGTTTCACTCATACATTGTTAGCTGATTTCTTGCTTGGTACCAGAAGTTGTTTTGAATCAGTCTGCCTTCCTCTGTGCCCCTCCCACCCCCAGTGCCCTTTTCTCTCTCCTTCAACCCACACTGGATGGGTCTCTGAGATTCCTCACTGGCAGCCTGGAGAGGCTTACTCACCAGGGGCTGCTGTGAGGACTAAATGGGCTAATGAGGCATATCAGGATGAGCAGAGACTGCCCCGGGATAGGACCCAGGAAGTGATAGCACTTCTGTAACCTGTGCAGAAAGGAGCTTTGCCCCTTTACATGGCCCCTTGGTGTGGTCCAGTCCTTGTTAGAGCTGCTTGCCCTCATGATCTGACTGTGTCCCTTAAATGTTTTATTCCTCTTCCTCATTTGAATCTGTGGTACCAGATATACATATACAACGAGTAATGAACATTTATGCATTCATTGTCATTTTTAAATACTAGAGCCTTAAAGAAATAAAAAGAGCGGATGGTTGTAGGATTGATTGTCCTGAGAACACTTAGTCAAGTACTTAAAGCATTCTTACCATTGTTACATGGCTGTATACTTAGAACTCTGTGTGGAATGTGTAGATCTGTTGTTAATTTTTCAGATTTTCCTATACTTTATGACATTCCAAGAAGATGAAAGCTCTTTTTGGCCAGGATCTTGGAGAAGTGGCTCCTATCATGTCTGTAGAGGAAGGTTTGAGTCTGGCTTATGACTTCATTCAGTTCTCATGATAGTTTTCCTAAGCTCATGACATCAGTCAAGTTGCCATCTTCATAGGACTTGATAGTACTGAAATGTGTATAATGTATGTGCCCACCCTGGCATGGGTGGGTGTGTGGAGGCCAGAGGTAGAGTTCAGGAGTCCTCCTCACTTGTTCTCTGCCTTATTGTTTGAGACAGGGTCCCTCACTGAACCTGGAGCTAGCTCTCTGTTGTGTCTAGACTTGCTAACCAGCAAAGCCCCAGGCTTTGACTGTTTCTGCCTCCTCCTGTGGGGTTACAGGTGCTTCCTGACACACCCAGCTTTTTACGTGGGTCCTGGGAAGCCAGATTCAGGGGTTCGTGTTTATGCAGCAGGAGTTTTACCCACTGAGCCGTCTCCTCAGCCCCATGTTGAAATTTTTTTTACTTTCTTTCTCACGCATTAAAGACTTTGGATTAGTGCCACAATAGCTAGCTGGTAAGCAGTTGAAAGAGCAAGTAAGAGGAAGAGCCCTTCTCACTGGGAACTGTGGGGTCTTGCCCAGTGGCAGCTCTTGGCGTGGAAGTCACGGGGCATTCAAGCATGCAGCAAAGGAACCCTCACACCAGCTTCTTCAACTCTAGGTGTAGGGAGAGGTAGAACCATTCTATAGGGCTGACCTCTTGGTGAGTCTGTCCTTTAACAGACATCCGTGTGTCCTGCAGGAAGTCCTGCTGTGCAGCTCCTCAACCTCAAGTCCCTGTATGTGGGAAGTTAACAAAGAGAAGCAGTGATAATGGTGATAAAGTGGAATAGCATCTATAAGCCACAGAGTTCCAGCATGTCCAGCCATGCCGGAAGCTGAGGATAGCAGTGGGGCCACCCTCCCCTCAGAAGGAACTACCTGTCACCACCTTCAGTCTGTACCCACAGAACTATGACAGACCCGCTAGCCTGTGGGTGCTGGGCAGCTCCAGAGTGGGGCGTTCAGAGAACCACTAATCCACGAACTAGATGTTTCTCCTCGTCAAGCCACAGACCGCCTTAAATCTGGTTGGAAACTGAACAGGAAGTTGCTTCGTTGCTCAGTCTGACACGGCTTGAACAACTTGTGCTCAGCATCCCCTGAGGGATAAAGCAGTAGCTGCTTGTTCAGGGGGCAGATGTCAGTTTTTGTGATGGGGCTGCAAACGACTTCCAGTCTGTGTCCATACCTCAGTGGGTATTTGTCTTTCATGGAATTCTCAGAACCTAGGTAGGACTTTTGCTGGCAACTTCTACTGAAAGCCTGTGTACTTACTACCTTTAGATTAGGCTATAAAAATGAGTGTAGGGCGAGGGCCAGTGAGATGATGGCTCAGCAGATAAAGACACTTAGCACCATACGTGACAGCCAAGTTCGATCCCTGAAACGAGAGAACCAGCTCCCTTAAGCTGTCCTCTGAACTCTGTACACACCAGGGCACCGCCGCCACCACATACACTAAATAAATACAGTTTTTAAAAGTAAAGTGTGTGTGTGTGTGTGTGTGTGTGTGTGTGTTTGAGGCAGAGGGCCCTGAAGTGTAGAAATGTTTCTAAATTTCCAGTAGAAAGGAATCTAACGTGGCAGAATTAGAGCCCTTTAAAAAGTGGTGTTGTTTAGCTCTAGATTGAACCTAAGACATTATATGGGGCCGAGGGACAAAAATCCTATAAAAGGTGAGGTGTCCTAACAGAGTTAGCCAGGAGACTGTCATCCAGTAGGAACAGTCTCATATTGCCTCACTGAAGCCCTGGCCCGAATTAGCAGGTGCTGGCTCCAGTCTCAGAACATCCTGCCAGACAGGCCTGGGTTTGGGCAGAGGAAATGAAACCTAGTTGTTTACTGTGAGAGTTACAATAGACCTGCCGTCGCAGGAAGTGGTGAAAAGTTGATTGATCACTTACGACACAGCTCTACCACGAGAAACAGGATGTATGCTTTCATTTGTCCCCGAGTCCCGCCCGCCCCCTCTTACATACAGTTCAGGTTCTTCCTGCACTTTGGCTGCTTCATGGGCTGTGGGTTCTTTTTAACACCACCACCCCAAAACTCAGTCACCAAATAAACTAACTGGGGGAATGATATCAGTTTAGCTGTGCCAGTGGTGTGTGCCTAGAGCTGTTACTGTTACACTTTCACTGTGGTTAGTTTACTAAAACTCATCAGCAATCTATAATTTTTTTAAATCCTCCAAATGGGATGTTATGTCACAATTGTACAAAGAATAAACCATTTTTACAGTTATGTGGTGGGATTACATTTGTATCAGCTTCTAAGAAAATCTAGTTTGGGCTGTGTCTTTATATAGCAGTATGGTCCACTTGGCAAGTCTCTTAAGTACTGATTCTCTTCACTCTAACGAGTGCATTCTGAGCATGTGAGATGTCCCTCATTTACACATAAAAGACACACAACTGCAGCCAAGTTCACTAAGAATATCAGAATGGCTGGCGCCTGTAAGAGTCTGGCTATTTAATGTCATTAACAAAGCTCTTTTTGATGTGAACTAGCCAGTTCTGCTTTGAATGTGACAAAAAGAATCACCAACATCCTTAGATGGCTTAATTTTTGAAATGGTGGCACTGTTATAGAGATGGATTCTAGAACTTACAGGAACGGCAAATTAGAACCAATATTAATTATGCTTGTGCTTGAAAGAACGAAATGGCTGCCCTGTCATGACTTGATTTTTATCCCTAAATAAAGTCCCCATTTTTCCTCTTATCTGTGTGAAACAATTGAGTAGGGAGCCCTATTTTATTCCTCCAAGTCTTACATGTCCATGCTGTTTTGACATTTTATTCACTTTCTATCCCTGCATTGGGGGGCAGGGTGTGGAATCCAGAATGACACTTGTGTGAACTTGAGAGTGTCCGTTAGAACTCCAGTGCTGGCAGGACACTAGCCAGCCTGAGCTAGCGACAGTGAGACAATGAGAAATGGAAGCCGAGGAGCTAGAGGCCGGAGAATGGTAGATCTGAGGCCAGGTAAGTTCAAGGCCCCCTTGAGCTATGTAACATGACCATTTCTCAAAACACAAAGGCTGCAATTGTAGCTCATTGGTAAGGTAGAGTTTGTCTAGTATGCATATAGCCATGGGTTTAATCTCCAGGAAACCCTTTCTTCTTTAAAAAAAAAGCCGTCCTAGTGGTGGGTCAGATGAACATAGGTTTTAAAGTAAAATACTTCTGGAAAAGTAAAGGTTCGCATAGGTGACTATGCAGACAGATGCCATTGGATGCTGTGGCACAACCACAGCTACACTGTGTGTGATGCCTCGCAGTGGTGAGGCTTCAGGTTGTCCCTCGACGGGGTCACTAGCTCACTCCACCTGGCCTGCCCGGAGTCCTCTTTACCTTGGCAGGCCTTCTCCCTTGGCCAGCTCTCTGGCGCTGCCCGCTGAAGCCCTGGGCCTTTCTTCTGTCAATGCTGCAGCTGCTCTCATCCCCTTCTCCTCACTCTGCCCATCCCTGGACATTGCTCCACCGTGTCAGTGTGGAGACTCACAGACACAGTGACTGTCCTGAGGAAGGGCTCAGACACATGCCAGCTCCTCCGTGGGAAGTGCTGTCTCTGTTCACATCAGCTCTTCTGAAAGAAGCCATGTTGGTTTGTTTGTTTGTTGTGTGAGCACATGTAGAGGTCAGAGGATACCCTGTAGGAGTCACTTCTCCTTTACAGTGTCTGTCTGGAGGAGTGAACTCAGTCATCAGGCGTGGTGACAGGTGCCTTTACTCACGGAGCCACCTCACCAGCCCCAGTTTGAATTTTTAGTTAGCAGCTATTGCATTCCTAGTGGATTTTAAAACTACACAGTAAGCAACACTAAGGCTCCATCATCTGCTGATGTCATTTGTCCAGTTTTCTGTTGGATTGTTAGGTCTTAGCATTCTGATTTCCAAAACTTCCTCTGGACTAGGCCCTCGTCTGTGATGTAAGTTGGGCATATTTCTCCCACCTGAGCATTAGCCCTTTGGCCTGGTTTTGATGGCTTATGGGGTCTCCCTTAGTTGACGGTATCAAGCTTCTCTTCCCATGACTTCTGTCCTGTGGGTGGGAGGAAGGCTTTCCTCCTTCTAAGTCATAGAAAATCCTCCACTGCTTGTGCGCCTTCTCTTTTTCTCACACACACACACACATCTGTGACTTGCTTGGGGTTTGCCCTGGTGTCACATAAAGGTGCCGGCTTTGTGATATTTTATATCTTGTTGTCACCAGTCTGATTAATGAGCCGAACCTAATTTTTCTTCTTAATATAATTTTCAAGGTCCAAAAAGTTGGCTGCCCTCGCAGAAGCCTTGAAAGCGGTCTCCCTCAGTAAGGCCCAGCTGGGGTTAGAGCTGCAAGAGCTAGAGACTGCTGCGCTTCTCGTCCAGGAGGAAGAAACTGCCAGAGAAGCAGCCCAGTGTGGGCCCACGCAGCGGACGCCAGGCTGCAGTCCCGAGCCCAGTGACTCGGACAGCACCACATCGTCTGACACAGAAGACTCAGATTCAGAGCCCGAGGAGCTTGTTGGGACTCGGCCCTCGCTGCTCACTCCTCGGCAGGACCCCCTTTTGGAAGAAGACAGTGCCCTGCTCATCCAGGAGAGTGGGCTCTGCAGAAACATGGCCAGCCAGGGATGCGAAGTCAGTCCAGGGCAGACCCTGGCCTCTGCCCGGGCTCCTCTGATAGAGGAGGTTGGAGAGGAGCTGAGGACCATCCTTCAGGTCTCCACACCTCCTGGTGGCAGTGCTGGGAGCCACCGCAGTATGCGGGATGGAGAGGAGAGGGGACAGGTGCCCTGTGATTGACTCAAGTGGTTGGCTCATTATGGGCAACTAGGTCCGCTGTGCTCTCATATGGCCGTGGAATTTGATTTCCATTGTGTACTTTTCCTGTGTACATAGAGGTCGTTGCTTTTCAGCGAGCTAACGTTTATACCTTCAATTTTTTTGGTTTGTAACTTGAAAAGTAAAACCCTAAAGTATTCTTTCCAAGGTGTAAGTAACATTTTAAAATGAAGACCAGAGTTCTAGTAGGAAAAGTCTAGACCAGTGGTTCTTAACCACCCTAACACTGAGACTCTTTAACATATTTCTTCGTGTTGTAGTGACCCCCAAACAAAAAGTATTCTGTTGCTACTTCGTAACTGTAATTTTGCTACTGTTATGAATTGCAGTATGAATATCTCCTCTGCCAGATATCTGATATTCAACCCCCAAGAGGGTCAAGACCTACAGGTTGAGAACCACTGTTCTAGACTGTAGTGGGACAGCTGACAGGTAGGACTCACATTTGAAGTGTGCACTGTGAGAAATACTGACAGGTGAGCACACCAGGTGAATTGTTCACTGAAGCCAGGATGTTTGACATTTGACACCCCCTTCTCAGGCCAGATGCCACCCACCTGTGTCCCCTGAGCGACCCCTGATGTGCTGCTGTGTCGTAGTCCAGTAGCTTGCATTGCCGACCCTGTACGTAAACGAAGCATTCAGTGCACTCTTTGGATCGGGCTCTTTTCGCTGCACGTAATTACTGTGAGACTGACAGGTGTGCTAACGTGTGCCAAGACTTTTGTGTTGTCTTCTCAGTGTGCAGACCAGTTCTTGGAATGGATTTGTCCATTCACCCACTGGTGGACATTTGAGTTGCTGCCAGTGTTTTGACTGTTAATAAAGCTGTGTGAGCATTTGGGTATAAGTCTCCATGCACATGTTTCCTTTCTCCTAGGTAAGTGTCACTGTGACATGGCTGAGTGCATGGTAGGTACATGTTTAACATTTAGCAGCTTGTGGAATTGTTTCCCCTCATAGTTTGGATGGACCAGTTTACACCAGCAGTAGGTGAGTAAGTGTTCTCATTTTCTCCATTACTCAGTGCTACTTGGTATTCTCATCTTTTTTACATTTGCTTATTTAGTTACTATGCACAAGTGTGCATGCGTGTGTGCGTGTGCGTGTGTGTGTGTGTGTGTGTGTGTGTGCGTGTGTGTGTGTGTGTGTGTGTGTGTGTGTGTGTGTGTGTGTGAGAGAGAGAGAAATTGAAGGTCAGAGAACAACTTTCAGGAGTCAGTTCTTGCCTTCCACCATGTGGATCCCACAGATGGAAGTTGGGTCGTCAGGCTTGGCATCGAGCACTTTTACCCTGAGCCATCTTGCCAGCCCTCTTAGTGTGTACCGTTCCAACAGGTATGGAGGTGAAACCTGATTCTGATCTGTGTTTACTGATTGAAGATTTACTGTGCTGAGCCGGGTGGTGGCGAAGCATACCTTTAATTCCAGCACTAGGGAGGCAGAGGCAGGCAGATCGCTGAGTTTGAGGCTAGCCTGGTCTACAGAGCAAGTTCCAGGACAGCCAGGGCTACACAGAGAACCCTTGTCTCAAAAAAACAAAAACAAAATAACAGATTTATTGTGCTGAGCCTCTTTTCACAGGCTTATTTGTTTTAGTCTGAGAGTTCTTTGTAAGGTTTGGATACAAGTTCTCATTATGAGTCAGGTTTTCCTGCTGTTTTACATGCCTTATCATCTTTGATCAGCTGGCAGACTCTGGATTTTATCTTGCCGGGTGTTGGGTTTGCATTCCTACAAATATTCTTTTATCTTTCTTACTAAGTGACTTGTACTGGTTTGGATCTGGCTTCCATATTCATTCGTTCTAGGGCAGAGCTTGGCCTAGGGTCCGTTATTGCCCAGTGTTTGTATTCCTGAGAGTAGTCTTTCTGTGTCTGTGTCTGTGTCTGCCTGCCTCTCCACCCCATCCCCTTAACTTTTGGCATAGCTGTGACCAAATACCTGGCAGAAATAACTTAGGAAGGAAAGATTCATTTTGGCTCAAAATTTCAAAGGATTTCTGCCCTTTTTGGTGGGAGAGATATGGGTGGGAATGGTTCCATCTGTGAAGGTGGGAAATTTTGAGGGTGGCTTGTTCACATGGTGGCAAGCAGAGAATACGGATCAGAACCAAAAGCAAAGACCCATCTCTAGCAACCTGCTTCCCCCAGCCAGACCCACTGCGACAGCTCCCCAGACGTCAGAATACTGCCACAAACTGGGAAGGAAATATTCAAAACAAAAGGCTGGAAGCCTTTCAGATTCCAACCACCATGCTTTCCTGCTCTTTGGCTTTTTCCTCATAGGCAACAGCAGCTTCCTTAGGTGGAAAGCCCTTGGATTATCCCTCCACACAGTGGGACGGTCTTGGAGGTCCCCTGGTCTGTTTCCTGTCTTCCATTACCTGATAGTCATTGTCTTGAGAAAACCCGGCTTCATACATGTTCCCATTTTTCTCTTGTGCTGCTCCCTGTGCCTCCATCTTGAATGGGAATGGTCACAGTTATGTGCGTTTCCCAGCTTGCAGGTCAGTTGTTGGGAAAGTGGGGCTGGGTCAGGTCTTGTCATTCCTAGACACCACTACTGTGTTCTCTCGGTGCTCTAGAGACACATAGTGAGGAGTGAACACGTGAAATAAACCCATTTGCTTTGGGTAGGAATGAGATGAAACCTGATACACATTCGTTCATCTCAGCACTTTTTATTCCAAGACTTTATGGTCCCCTTTCCTTTGAATTAGAAAGACAGCAAGGATTTGTATTTCTAATAGAAATTCCAGTTGTATTAACATGTTAGTTGGGGTGACGGTGCCGTTTGACATGCATTTTAACTCCTAAACACTGTAACAGCTCGGTCTGGGTGTGTTGGAGCCTTTCTCAGGCTCCCTGGAGAGCTTCAGAATTTCTGTGACCATTGCCAATGCATTTCTCCTCAGCAGCACATTACCTGAGGCCGCTTTGAAAAGGCTTTGGATCCACTAACAGCAAGTAGAACAGATCCTCTCTTGTCTAAATGTTTAAAGCTGTGGACATTTTCTTCCTTTCTTCAGTTCCTGTCCCTAGGAGTGTGGGCAGGATTGACTTCCGTGAGAATTGTCTTGGAAAAACTGCTTTCCTTAAATATAGGCAAGCATGATCCTGCTGCCATTCTTAAAGCCAAGGGGCTCTATGACCTGTCTCATGAGTCTTAGAGATGACACTCGTGAGTGCCACAGCTGCAGACTCCTGAGTTCAGTTTGTGGCACTCCCTTCCATCTCCCTTTGTCCACGGGGCTGAAAGCTCGTGTATCACTCCACCTGGCCTTGGTTTAAGATGGCTAGGAACACTATTGCACCACACCTGCCGCCCAGAACACCCCTCAAAGGGGCTGCCTTTTGGGGTTCTATGCTAAACAACTTGCCAGGCAACTTTAGGGATCTCCTGTAACCACAGAGGTTTCCCAAGAATGCTGGATGATGGGAGAAAAGACAAGTTAGGGAAAGAACCGAGAGGAGACCACACTGACTCTCTAGTCACAACACAGTGAGATTTGACTCACTGAGGTTGGCAAGACATGGAATTGAGTTCCAGAACCTTGGCTCAGAGGCGACCTGCCCTGGAGGGTTATGTCAAAGCCCCAAACCTTTCCTTTCATCTGGAAAATCGGACTGAAATTATAGTCACGGTCACCTAGCAATGTGTTTTGAGAAGTACCGCATTGAGTTATTTTGTCACTCAGTGTATGAACATCATGGAATCTTCTTGCAGAAACTGTGGTGGCTGTGATGTCATCAAGTGACAGAGTCTCTTGGGTTTGGTTTTTGGTTTTGCAACAATGTCTTACTATATAACCTAGGCTGGTCTAGAACTTAGTGTCTTCCTGCCACAGTCTCCCAAGTGCAGACATTACAGGCCTATGCCACCACTTCCCAGCTAGGTGATGGAATCTCAAGCATCTGCCTTCACATATGTAATGTGTCTTTAACAAAAATATGCAGAACTTGTCTATATTTTTGTTACTTATCTTATAGGACTGTTAGACTTTATGTTCAAAACACTTGATAAACTTGAAGTGTTAAACCAACATGAAGGTTCATCCTTCTTGCTTGACTTCCCCAAGTTAAACAACAGGTTGCTAGGGGAGTCAGCACTGTGAAATGACCCAGCCCTGTCATCATTCAGAAACAGGCTACTGATCAGTCTGCACAGTTCAGCAGGTTAGATAGAAATGTTAGTTATATTGGTAAGTCCCAGTGATAGCTTGTGTTGTGGCTTCGCATCATCACCAACCGGCTTTCCTGTGTTCTGTCTGTCCATTATCCTTGAAGAGTAATGTTCGGTCTTGCTGTGGGCCTGGTGGGGCTCTGATGCTGTAACCAGGATAGTATCATCTTTCACCAGCACAAGATTAATTTACCAAAGAGACAGGGCTGCTCCCTACCACATGCTGAATTGGTTGGCAGCTGCTGGGCGGTTTTCACACCTGCCAGTGGAAAATACACTTTCTTTGTGGGAAACAGATTCTGTTCCTGCGTACTGGAGGGAGGGACTTATAAAAGTTGATTAAATTATTTTAAAACAGACTCCTTTATGTTGTTATATCTTATAAGAAGTAACTGGAAATATACATAATAATGATGAGAACAGATACTGCTAAAAGAAATAGGAATCAAATTTAAAACATCATATTTTTAGAAATGTTAATTGAAAAGTATTTTATGATGTAGAATTCTCCCTAAATAACATGACCTGTCGTATCATGTCATTGCATGTCAGGTAAATTCAAGTTTCATGAACACAGCTCTTGAGCGTTTGGTTGGCTTTAACGCCTAACTCCCAGTGGAAGCTTGTGATCAGAACCACAACCACCTGTCTTCTGAGCTTGTCCTGTAGTTTTTCAGCCCATGGCAAGCGAAGGGAGCATTGATTAGACTTGATTTAAAGCAGTGAGTGATAAATGCAGCTGGGAAATTGATTCATGTCTCTCAAGTGACGGGGGCACAGCCATCTACCGTTGACACAACTCGTGTCTCAAGGCTGGAAAACAAACAGGGAAGCACGCGTCAGACATAAATGATTGCTGCTCTCAGCTCCTGGGAAACCATTTGTTTCTGAGATAAGACTGGCTCCAGCCATAAAAAGATAAGCCAGGGAAAGGGGGCTGTGGAATTTGATGCCCACGGACTTTGCAGGATTCACCTCCCTAGGAACATCGTGCTGGGTGAGGCACTGGGAATGCTGTCTCTGGAAACACTTTAAAGGGATCTCTGTGACACACTGGTGTCTTTGAAGCCAGGTCCCCGGAAACATTCCCCGCTGCTCTTGGTGTGTGCAGTCAGGGGCAGTATCAGCAGGAACCACTGAGTGATGACTTTATGGTCCCTGAACCAGGGCAGGCACCTGAAGTACTGATGCTCCTAGCCTGGAAGGCCTCTGAAAACTGGTCCTCTGCTGCCTGGCACCTCTAAGGAGACTGGCCTGTCATGCTTAGATGGTTGCTGTGTTTGCATTTCTGCTGTGTCTCACCTCTCTCTCTGGTCTTCCCGTGCTCTTTCCCCTTCTCACTTCTGGAAGTGTGTACCTTTCCATTTCACCCCAGCTTCAAGACTCCTTCAAATGCCCCTGCCCACAGAATGTTAGTTACCCCTTCCTTTAGGTGGTAATTACTTAGAAAGTAATTTCTCTCCTTGACCCTGAGGAACAGTTTCTGTCTCAGTACTTGCTGCTTTCAGCGGGGACTCAAAGCACAGAGCTGTATGCAGCTCCTTCAGTACTACAGAAACTTAAGGTGTCTCTGCTTTAGGTCCCTCCCTGCAATTACAGTGTCTGTCCATAGAATACTTTCATATGACCCTTGTTGAAAGACAAACCAAAAATCCAGCAGACTGG